AGTTTAGAAATCTTTAATATAATTCTTCTATTACTTAATAAAGTTTCTACTTTGGCATTTCAAAAAAAAAAAAAAAATTATTATCTCTGTTTTAAAATACCAATTACTATATATTTTATTAAGTCTTATATAAATACTGTTTGAATCTATCAAGTTATAGTCTTCTGTTATTGGTGTTAAAATAAAAATTTTTTATATTAATAGTATAACTAGTTGTATTTTTATAAACTATAAATATATTTAATATATTACTAACTAATAAAAATTGCTTGTTTAGTTAAATAATTAACTATTTATTTAATAATAAAAAAAAAATAATAATTATTATTATTTAAAATAAAAAATAAAGAATTAAAAAACTTTATATTTTTATATTCAATTCAGATTTTTTTATTAAATTAAATATATAAATAAACAAAAATTATGGTTAGTTTTTTTTTATTAAACTAATGTTTTTTTTGAACTTAGATTTTTTATTAGTATATTTAGAATTTAAAAACTTATGACCAAAGCCTTAATAAAGTTATCTTTACATTAGAGAGTATAATTAGTCACATATATATTTTTAGTATCTAATTTAAGTAGTCTATTGATGGTTCTATACTAACTGCTATATATGCAATTCAACTAGAGACATTGCTTATTTAAACCTTCTAAACTACAATTCTTACTGTATTGCTAAATTATTTCTGATACATGTATTAGTTATAAGAGGTATTTTTAAACATTTCAATTTAGCCAATATAATTTACAATGCATTAAACCTGGTAAAATAACAGTAATTACAAAAGGTTTATATTGCTAATTTATTTTATTTATAATTTATATATTATCCTAATAACAGACATGTACTGTCAAGAAAATAGATTAGTGACATAAAGCAATAAAAATATAAGCTTGCAAACTTTATAAGAGATTAAAAAATAATATTATGTCTATTATTAAACCATAATGACAATGTTACATCTAATATTATTAATTTAGAATTAAGAATAAATTTCTTTGGCATTAATTAATTGTTGTTATATACTGTTAAATTTTGTTTATATGGTTTTTTTATTGTTTCTCATAATAAATGGTTTATTTTTTTTGTGCATTTTATTATTTTAATCTATGTACTGTAATAGTATTTTTTCTTTAAAAAAATAAGATCTTGGATTATATGATTTATTTGTATCGGGATGATGAAACGTTGATGTTACACAATTGATTTTACACACGGTGTGTAACACATTAAAAATTATTTTACAATACTTGAACAATCTTGATCAGTCCGCTAGTAGATGTTGTGATAATAATCCAACACCATTTTATTATAATCATAACATCTACTAGCGGACTGATCAAGTATTGTAAAATAATTTTTTTATGTTTCACACCGTTCGTAATATCAATCGTGTAACACAACGTTTCCTCTTGTCGGATGATGATCTTAGACTTGAGTTGTTAAATTTCGTAGTAATGTATTTATTAATACAATTTAACTTTTTATACAGTATTGAATATTTAGTCGTTACGTAATAATGATATTTTGTAATATCACGGGATGATCTACAAAAATCAGCCAATTACAATGAAAACCCGCTATGCTAATCACATGATGATCGAGATTTCCTTTTTCGTATAATCAAAACAAAGATTATCTTAGTTATTTTCATCATCGTGACATAACATACGTGTGTACACATACGTAGCTAATACAGGAACACGGTAACAGAAAATTTTAGACGAAATAACATAATGTCCAAAACATTTTCCAAAGACCTAGTAGAAGATTTTAAAAGTTTATATGAATCTAAAGAACATTATGACACAATTATTACCGTTGGTGAAGAACCAAATATTGAACAAGTTTATGCCCACTCAGTGATTCTTTGTACTAGGTCATCATATTTTCGTAGTGCTTTATCTAATAAATGGGCTGAAAGAAAAGAAGGATATTTGATTTTATCAAAACCTAATATAAACGCAATGACTTTTAAAATTATTCTTAAGTAAGTAATCTATACTGTTAGATGAGAAAGTTTATAATAATTATTACGATTTTAATGATAAATTATGTATATTTGAATAGGTTTTTGTATTGTGGAGTAGTAGATTTGGAAGATCTAGAAGATGAAACGATCTTAGAGCTTTTGGTTGCCGCAGATGAACTTTTAATTCAAAGGCTCATTGATTTCATTCAAGAATTCTTAATTAAAGATAGTACTGAATTATTAGAATTAAGACTCGGCAGAATGTTAAATTTCATTACTCATAATAAGCAATTCATCGAGCTTAAAGAGGCTTTTTTGGAGACTATTTGTGAAAAACCCAAACTATTATTTGACTCTGAAGAATTCCTTTCATTAGAGGAAGATACATTAAAATTAATTCTCGGATGTGATGATCTTGACATGAAAGAAATCGTGATCTGGAAACACTTAATCAAATGGGGAACGGCACAATGTACGATGATTGAAAGTAATATGATGTGCGAAGACAGCAAAAATGAAAATACAAATATATTAGAGGAAACATTGCATGAATTGATTAAGCTTATTAGGTTTCATCAAATAGATCCTAAGGAATTCGTACCTGAAGTATGGGCATACAAAGACCTTTTACCAGACAATTTAATTGAAGATGTAATACGTTGTTATTTGGATTCAGATGCAAGACCAATGTATAACACATTTTTAATTAGATGGGGAAATTTTGAAATTGAGTCTGTATTAATCAACAAAGAAATTGCACTAATTTTGACGAAATGGATAGATAAAACAAATATTGATGACGATATATCAAAAGGGTCAAAGTATAATTTTAAACGTCTATTTAGAAGTAGTTTAGATGGATTGTCATCACAAATGTTCCATCGAATTTGCGACAACCAAGGAGCAACTATTGTAATAGCCAAAATCAAGAATACGACACTTCTTATTGGTGGTTATAATCCACTTGATTGGAATGGAGCTGATGAATGGAAACAAACGATAGATAGCTTTTTATTTGTATTAGATTTTAAAGACATCAGAAAAGGAGTAGTATCTCGCATTAATCATAGTCACAGTAAATATGCAGTCTTTTGTGACATTAATTGTGGACCAAGTTTTGGAGAAGGCCCCGATTTTCATATTTTAAATAACAGCTATACTTTGAAATATAAAGCAAAATCCTACTCTAAAATGGTGAATTCACATACTCTTTCGATTTTGGATTATGAAGTCTTTCAAGTTGAAAGCATCGCAAAACCTTCAATCATAGAAAATAAACAGTAAACCAATGAAATCTACCAATAAAATTACCAGTGAAATATATTTTTTTTACGTATAAAAATACTACGTTTCTTTATAAAAAGTTTTATGCATAATTTTATAGATATGTACCTTACAAAATCGGCATAAAAAAAATAACGTTTTTTTAGTCTAGGGATGAGTTTGGTCGGTCATTACCGATTAACCACTCATGACCGGTGTTTGAAATCTGAGACTAAATCAGTGTTCTCATGTTCTATTTAGTATTTTTAAAGTCAATTTTTGAGTGTTCTTTAATATAAAAAAATCAGCTTTCAGCTGTTCTTACACAAATTTGTGTTCTCATGAGAACTCCGAGAACACTAATTTCAAACACTGTCATGACCGGTCGACCACGATCGGTCATACGTTTAACCAATTATTCAATCAAATATCAAACCACGGTGATCTGCAGCCAAGATCTGCAAATTTGACCAGCGTTACCAACCAAAAAAATTTCGCACGACCAACCAAAATTGCAAACACCCTGTTCCTGAAGGATCTATCTTGATTTAGTTAAAAAAAAAAAAAACTTCATTTGGTTTTAATAAGGTTTTAAAAACGAACCCCAATCCTAACTTTTTTCATATTACTTCGCTATAGTAGTTAGTATTTTAAAGTCCCTTTTTTAGAAACATGTTAGGGACAGTATGTAAATCAATATTTGTATCAAGAACAGTACCGACGATCCATCAGGAATGGTATTTTTGCATCAAAATTAGTGATCATCCAAAATTTAACTTCTAGCGAAGGTTCCTAAATACCACTTAACAAACTTTTTTTATTTTAATCTTATACTTTTATAAAATTAAAATAAAAAAAAAGTTTGTTAAGTGGTTATTGAGAAATCTTTGCTAGAAATTTAAAAAAATTTATAATAACAAAAAGAACTAAAATTCAGGCAAAATTTTTTTCCAAACATTAAGCAAGGATTTCTCGCCAATTATTTATATCAGTTTTTCGATAAAATTTAGAACTTCGATTAATTTCGATTAACAAAAAAATTTTTACTATATCATGGGCCCGCTATGTTGATATAACTATGGTCAAAATTGCAGATGATTTTACCAAATTTAAAATTGGGTTGTTCTAGATTTGGCTAAATGATCTGCAAATTTGATCAGAATTATGAACGATGGATTTTACATATAAGCTTATGCTAGTAAAACCCGCTATGTAAATCATATTAGGGTGAAATCCACGTTAGCTATGTTTTTTATTATGCAAAAGCGGATTTTACCCTCATGTGATCTGCGTAGCGGATTTTACTAATTCACAACGCGAGTTTCACCCTGTCGTATTTAAGGGTGGGTCGGTTACGGTTATGACCGGTCAATGACCGGTCATAACCGTAACCGATCAAAGGTTTGTGACCGACCGGTTAATATATTGACCGATACTATTTTAGCGATGTTTAATTGATTCATTACAATGTTTGTTATTATATTACGCAATAATAAGCGATTTGAGATGAGCTCAATCTATAATTGGTTGTAATTATAATGAATAATGGCATTATTTATTGTAATTCATTATAATAACAACTAATTACAGCATTTGCTCACATGTTCTAATATTCGTAAATAAAATAATTTAACTAAGAAAATACGTATTAATTAATAAATTTAATGATGACACTCATACCGATGACCGTGATTCTCGTGATTTGGAAGTGCAACGCAAGATGTTTAAGGATAAGTCAGTAATCTTGAAGATCACATATGAATAACTTTATTTTGCATCATGGTATCCTGTTTTATCTTAAGTTTCACTTTATAATTTATCAATAACACAGCCACAGTCATAACCATCATGGACTTCCCCAACGTAACCATAAAAAAAACCCGGACACGTTATCTTTGGGGCTTATATTTGCTGATTAATATATTCAAAATTACTACGTATCAGCTACATAATATATATATAGTAATTGTTATAATTGTTGTCGTTATTATTTTTTTTTATGCTTAACACAATTGATGATGCTACATAAATCACATATCCGGGTTTTTTTTGTGGTTACGTTGTAGTAGTTCATCATACTGCATACTAATCCTGATTAAATGTGCACATAGATCTGATTAATACTTGGATGGATAGAAAAGTTTTGTCACAAACCTAGCTAATAACTGAGCAGTTATTGACTGGTCATTTGACCGGTTATATGGCCGGTCGAATAACTGCGGTCGGTCGGTTATGAGTCAATGACCGCCAATAACCGACCGATAACCGACCGTGACCGACCGGACCCACAACTAGTCGTATTATTATTATTTATTAGCCAGAAAATTAAAACCTGGCATCGGTCATAATTTTGACCGGTCAGTTAACCGTCTCTGACCGGTCATGACCTGACCGAACCCACCCCTATCTAGTCATATTTTACATCATGCAGTATTTTATGCTCGATAGTAATCTATATTTTTGGCTTATTTCTGTACTACACTCATTAATATTTTATTTATTAAAGCCTTTATGATGTTATTTAATATAGATCGTCACCTGCGTAGCATAATATTTTTTGTCTTTAGAAATTTAAACTATATAAATTCATTCATTATTAAAATCAATTAATGATAAGGTAGAATTTCAAGTGTCATAGAAGTTAGGGATGATTGGGTTGGGTAAAACGTGCATGGAAAGTTATATATCAAATTGCATCTCCATAGTAGACATTTAAAATCGAAGATTAAAGATATATATTGTCCGAGTTGAATATTAATATCTATTAGTTCCATATACTTCAATAGAGGTTTATTTAACTTTCTTTACAAAAGAAAACTTTAGGGCGTTCTCAAGCACCCATATAAATGCGATTTCATAGTGAATCGAAGTAGTGCACAAGTATTATGACGTAATTTTAGCTATTCTCATAGCATTTTAGATAAAAGTTAATGCGAATGACGACATTATTGCGATTAAGAATGTAGTGGGACAACCCAAACCATGCGACAATTAGTATCACATAGGTTATTACTAGGTTTATACTTATTGCCAAGATAACATGATAATAATTGTCACATAAATTGGTAGTCCCAATGAGATGTGCTCAAGTAATTACTATTACTGTGATTTGGCAGTAATTTTGCAGTAGTTGTAGTGATGCACAACTGCTACGATAGATTAAAAAAAGACCTTTAATCTATTACTGCGCATTTGCGAAATGCCCCAAACTTTGAAAAACTTGACTACCAATATGATGTAAATATAGATTTTACCGAGATAATTAAAATTCCCCAAGTCATGATGTGTCGTTTTAATAAATTCTTATGTCTAATGAGATGCGTCGGGGTGGGAAGATGGGTTAGCCTGTGAGAAAATGGTTAGACTCGTTATTGTTACAGATGGGTTTGGGTCAAAATCCCGACAGGTCATAATCCCGACAGGTCATTCCGACAGGTCATAATCCCGACAAAAAAATCCCGACAGCTAAAAATCCTGACAGTCAAAAATCCCGACAGAAAAAAATTCCGACAATTAAAAAATCTGATAAAATATCATAGACCATAGCAAACCCTATCCTAACCATTATTTAAAATGATCTATTCCGCTTTAAACATATCTCATACTTGGGATTTCCTACCTAAACATTCTGGCTGTCGGGATTTTTAATTGTCGGGATTTTTTGTCGGGATTTTGACCCGCACCCGTACAGATAAGGGGACCAAAAACTTTTCGGGATTTAAAATTGTTTGATCAATATATAACTCGGTAACCAAAATCTAAATTTTGGGACAAAATTATTGGAGTTGGTGACCAATTTTTTGCTTAATTTCGCTAACGCGCCGTAATGCACTGCCTAAGTAGATCTTATATGGTTTATAAAACAACATAATAACAACAATACGTTATTGTGATGATAACCAAAATCATAATAAGAAACATAGAAAATGCTTGAACAGTAACTCTATTTACTTAATATTTATAAAATTTTAATAAGCCAGTGCAAAAAAAATGGTAGTTCGAGACAAAAATTTTTTGACTGACGGTGCCTCAAGCACCTAAATTAATAGATCGATGCTCAATTTTTAATTAGCGAAACATAATTTGGACGGTGAAAAAGTCTCTGTTGCGTCGGAAAACTCGCCGGGTCGATTTAGGACAACTCACTATAAATATAACAATCACTCGGTTAATTTTTTACAAGGTGTCCCAGGAATAATGATAACAACTGTAATAGTTCTAGTTATCCGGACGATCATCCGGACCCAGCCTGGTACACATTTCAGTGTATGATCTACAATTTTACAAATAGAATTAATTCCAGCATCATCTGCACTATGTAAATCAACCGATAATCTTTTACGTATATAGTAATAATCTTTGAGTATACATTTCTATTTAAGGTTAAATAAAGCAGATTTTTATATGCAACCAAAAAGATATGATGATAAGATAAATGCATTTCGACACATTCTAAAAATGGATTTTTGACATAATTTAATGACGATCTTTTTTTTGTAATGTACGATTTGAGTAATTTAGGCACATTCTTTTGTCAAATCAATCGTGAAATATTCCAGCGAAAGGAGTGAGGTATAAAAGTTTTTTCAGATGTATACATGCAAATATTTTTTTTTGGTCCAAAAATGCTTGTTATACTTGATATACAAGAATTTGAGATACCAGATTTTTTTCGCTTTGCTAGAGAAACGTCAAAAGCAATGGGAGATAGATTCGAATGGTTTTGCGTTAAGTTGTTGAGAAGATACTTTGAAAGATTAGGTATTAGAGTTATACACACTGGGTAAGTATTTCTTACAGAGTCTTGTAGAGTCACTATGTATCCTAAGTTACGCTGTCACGCATATGTAAATCATCTGGGAATTGAAAGCACATCGTGGCCAATGTTTTGGCATTGAACGTTCTTCCCTGTTATATGTGTCTTCGTGGGCCTTTTGGCGCGAGGTTAATGATGAATAAGATACATGCTGGCACCAGCTATATGCGACTATGAAACATATACTCATTTTAATTATCAATTTAGAGGAACAGATGATAAAGGTCGTGATATTATTATTGAGATTTGTGGATACAAAGGCGCTATCCAATGCAAAGCTTGGTTTGCAAAATATATATGTATACTAATTATTAATTAAAAATACAAAATTATTAGCATAATAATTAAATAATTTATTTATAGCTCGTAAAGAAGTTGATGAATTTAGATCGGTAGTGCATGATGGTGGATTTGAGTTTGGAGTTGTCGTTGGAGTTTTAGAAGAAAAGATTTCGGATGAGGCTTATATCTCAGCTGAAAAATCAGAGCATGATATTATTGTCACAACTTATAGAAATATGTGCCAAAATATCAAGAACTTAATCGCTGGTCGATTAAGTCGAAAACTTCGTGACTTAGAAGATAGACGTAGATTCTTAGAAGATAGATGTAGATTCTTAGAAGATAGATGTAAAAAATTTAAGTTAAATTATAAATTAATTTTCATTTCTTTTTTTGTAACTTTTCTGCTTACTTCGTATGTACTTTTACTTTATATTTTTTTATTTAACTGACGATAATATCATGTTCTGATCTTCTTTTTTTTCTCTTTATCTTTTTTTTTTTCTTTCTTTTTTTATTCTATTCTCTTTTTCTTTCTATTAATAAAGATTTTTTTTTCTCGCTAATGCATGTATAAAATACTATATCAGTTCGAAGCTAAAAATTATTGGTAAAAGTGATCAGCGAGAACAAATTATTCATGCGTACATGAATTTTTTATTTGAATTTAAAGATAGTAATTATCACAAAAAAACATTTTTCAAAACGTGTACAATAAAATTCTTTTTCCAACCATTTCCAATAAAGTTATATAAATTAATATTAAACATGCAAAACCAAAGAGATGAATTTAAAAACTTATTCGAAATAAATTCATTGCAGCTGGAATTGGAACGAATAATAAAGGAAAAAAACGCGCTTGAGAAAGAGAACGCAGAATTAAAACATTGATTGGAACAGAAACGGTCACAAAATGACGAAAAGAACCACTATATTACTAAATTGGGGATACTATAGAAAAATCAACCAATCTTCAATCAATGTGTCACATCTGCTGAAACAGAAAATCCTAACAATATTCATGAACACAATGTGATGATACTCCTACGTCTGATGTACCTGGTATTACTTCAAATTCTGATGAACTTAATAATGCTTCAAATTCGGATGTATTTTTTGAAAATAAAGAGATCGAATTCCTAGAACGGGTACACAAAGAACAGATTAAAAATGAAATGAAAGGAATCGCGAAAAGAAGCTTAGATCCCAAGAACTCCTATTATATGATGATAATTTATCAGCAAAGGAGAGACTCTCTGAGTCATGTTATATAAAAATAGCAATTCTGATATTACCTCCGAAATATTTGAATCAGAAAATCCAATAGTAGAAGGTTTAATACAAGAGATGACCTATAATCAAGCCAAAAATGTTGTTTCAACCCTTTACATTCAAATAAAGATGAGGTAGATGCTACTAAAATCGGTATACAGGGTATGGTTCTAGGTTCTACGCAAAGTTTACCTGATATTATATTCCCTTGGATTCGAAAATAAGGTTAAAAATCTTACGAAAAATGGTAAAATTAAAGATAAAACAACCAGATCACAAATATATAAAGAAATGAAATCTTTTTTACCTAACATTACTGATGTAAATTAGCGTAAGAAAACTGAAAGAGCTCGAAAAATTCTTAAACTATTTGGAGAAGGTGTAAGTGTAGATAAAATTAGATACGTTGCGTATAGTGCTACTGTAGTACTATTTGTAATTATTGTGACGAAAAAAACATATCGTTTTTATAGTTGTAATAGAACTTATTGTGGAATCCCCATAGTAAGTGAAAGCGTAAGTCAAAAAGAAATTAACTACATATTAATAATACACAATCGTGTTAAAATAATAAATGGCGAGGGCATGGGACCCTCTCTTTATTTCATAAAAATTATTGCCGGAACGACAATATACAAATAAAAAAATATTTATAATAAAAAAAAAATACAAAAAAAAAAAGGCCAGACGCCTCAAAGAGGCACCGAACCCTTAATGGCTATGTTGGTGGGGTTTACATGTGATCTAACATTTCCCTTCGTTTACCAGGATTCAGCAAAGAATTATCATCATTTTTCTCATCACGCTCTAAGTTTTTTTCGACATTTCCCTCAGGTATCATCTAATTTTTAGTAAAATAAACAGTGCGAATGCACTGGCATGGTACAAAGTTTACTTACAAAATAAAAATTGTCTCGGCTTGTGTTGTAGTTTTGATCTAGAATAGTTGGAGGTCTTATTTTCTTGTTCTTGGAGATGGTTTTTTTATTACTACTCATTATCCGTACTTAAATACAAAAAACATAGTAAGTAAAAATTCATATTCATAAACTATATTAAATGGGTACATTACTCTAAAAATTAATTGCGAGCAGGTAAAAAAATATGTAGAAGCAAATATATATATATATATAATAAACAACTTACAAAAGACATTTTTATACCGTCCATTCGTTAGATCTTAGAACCTGCCAGAAGAAAAATTACAAGTTTAGCAATTACGTTACTCTAAAACAACGGCAGTATTTTCATAAAGCAACTCCTTTCGGCTACATGTTCCAAATACTAAATATATTTTGTCGCTTTTTGATGAAATTAAATCTCTTTAGTTTTGACGATCGCTCCTGCGAAGTGAAAAAGTCAACGATCTTGACGATTTGTGAAATTTCAAGTCCTGCAAAATATGAATTTTGATAAAACTACTGATAAAAAGCGTTATGCTCTTTCTCTTTAGCCCTTTTAAGTCCCATTCATGTTATTTTCTTATCGTGGGATCATGTATTGTATAATTAAAGAAGCTTCTACATTATTCTTAATTCTATAAAAAAATTTGACGATTCTGCAGGAGGGTAACACAAACCACATGCTTTTAACAAATAAAAAACACCGTTAAGTCATGTGATGTTTTACGTATTGATATCGATAGAAAAGCTACTGATGAAGCGAAATATCAAATTATCTTCGTTATTTGAATCGAATAAATTAAGATTCAAAGTAATTTCGATGTGAAGTCCGAATTTTTGTAATGATCTTTTTTATAATAAAATATAGTAAATATTAAAATTTTTACGCTATATGAAAGATTAAAATTTTAGTAATAAATACTTTATTAAATGATATAATTATAAAATTCATCAACTAATGCTTCTTTTAAATACTCTTGAATCGATTAAATTTTTTTGAAAAATTTTAGTTTGATTGAGAAATAATTTTTTTTTTAAACTTTTATAAATAGAGCTTATAAAATTTCAAAAATTCTCAATCAGATTAAAGTTTTTAAAAAAATTTAATCGGTTCAAAAGAATATTTTAAAGAAGCATTTGTTCATGAAGTTTATAATTATATCTTTTAAAAAAATCATTCATTTACTAAAATTTTAATCTTTCATATAATGTAAAAATTATAATATTTACTATGTTTTATTATCTTCATTCCGGTGATCACTATCACAAAGTCTAAAAAATCGATGTGCATCTAAACTTCGACAATCATTAAGATGATTCAGAATTAATTTATTGCGAAAATAAGTGGGAGTTTAAAAGATCCTACATCTATTTTTAAAATCCCGACAGTGATTAAATAGGTGCACACGTTAATGAAATTGGATTTTTTTGATAAATATTTACAGGGAAACGGTTATGTAAATAAGTTTATACGTTAAAAAAAACAAGATTTATGGATCACGTATTTTAAAGTAAATACTTTACTTCTATTCTGCAAGGCTTTATTGCATTCCCAAATGAGGAAATTTTAAAAATGGTTCGTTATGCTAGACAATGATGTGTAACAGTATCGCATAACTTTATGCCTTTTGCATATATAACAGCGGAGTGCTTTTTAGAACTCAAAAATTTCACGTTATTATAATACATCAACAATGATTATTGAAAGTGACTTGACAAATTTAAATTTACCTTATCTTAATAACAATCAATTTAAATTCATTAAGAGAATTGGAAGTGATGCGTTTACAGATGTATACCAAGCGGAATTAATAACTCAAATTTAAAAAATTTAGAAAATTTAAAGTGTGTTGCACTAAAAGTCTTCAAATGATTTGAAGAATCTGATGCTGGAGCTTCTCGAAAAGCTATACTGTTAACATATGGGTGTTGCCAAGGGAAACCTGTCATCGGGCTTTCAATTATATTCTTTGTCCAGTTTGTTCCCGGGCAAGGTAATTACTTATTACGTAAAAAGTTAAATCACACTATAGCATGTCATTAGTTATAAGTATATATTATTAGTAAATTGTCGCATGTGATTTGATTTTTTACGTAATAAGTAATTACCTTGCCCATCTCTAGTTCCCAGAATGCCATCTGAAGAAAATCTATTATCGAGTTTAATCAATTATATTCTACAAATATAATTAAAGGCCCGATGATAGATTTTCTTTAGACAGCACCAAGGTAATTACTTATTACGTAAAAAATCAAATCACATTATGCGACAATTTACTAATAATATATACTTACAACTAATAACATGCTAAATTGGCGCATAGTGTGATTTAACTTTTTACGTAATAAGTAATTACCTTGCCCATCTCTAGACAGCACTCCGGAAACGAACTGAACACAAGATATAATTGAAAGCCCGATGACAGTTTTCTCTTGGTAGCACTCATATATGATGTTAAGGCAAATTAGATGTAATGTTTAGAAGTAATTAATATATAATATAAACTCATCTAGATTGCATCGCATAAAATAGTGGGTGCAGATGATAAAACTATACAAATTTACGGAATCACTAAAATGAAAGGTTATATTACCATTTTTTAATCTATTTATGGATTAAGTATTTAGTTGGGCTAGACGTTGCAAAAAAAATAGGGAAATTGGCAAACCTGCAATTTTTTTTCTTTTGCATAAATTAATTTAGAGCAATATTTTTCACTTAAAAAAAGTCGTTGTATCAATAAAATCTTTCGGTATAGCTCTTTAAATTCGTACTATCTTATTATTTATTTTGTCAATTTTCCTCCTTTTTTTTTTTTGCAGAATCTGCTCATTTAATTTCTAACAATAACCTAATGATTTAATTATAAATAATCAACTAGTTGATGCACATAGTTCCGAGTTGAGATATGCGTTAGTATTGGAGTTTGCAGATAGCGGGACGCTAAGGAATTATTTACAGAAAAACCCAAATCTCAGTTGGTCCAATAAGTTTCGTCTCGCTTTACAGCTATTATGCATATGCACTCTCAAAATATTGTTCATAGAGATCTTGTAATTAAAATTTTATATTATTGTAAGATTGTAATTTAACTGCTTATTCTATATTTAATACTTATTATTATAATACCTACAGCACTCAAATAACGTACTAGTTCACAAAAATAATATTAAAATAGCTGACTTTAGGCTATCTAGATGTTTATCTGATGCATTAAAAAACCAATTCAGGACTTGCTGGTTGTATAGCATACATGGATCCTCAATGGCTTAAATATTCTAAACAGAAATTACAAGAAATAAATAAGGAGTCTGATATATAGCTTAGGTGTGCCTTTATGGGAAATATCTAGTTTACATCCTGGTTAGTTACTCATATTTTTACGGGTTTTGATCGTTATTATCTTTCAAACATTAAATTATTTATCCACTAAATAATGCTGGCAAGATGATCAAAAAAAAAGCCCTACTATTGATAAAGTTGTATTTGAACTCAGGGAAATATATAATATGAAACAAAATTTTAATCGGATCGATCAACATTTTTAATCACATATGTATTAAATTAGTGAAATGCAAATATATAGTCAGTAAGTATTATTTATGTCATTTAAACTAAAGTGTATTTAAAAAATCATCGTTTCATTGTATTCATAAATGCATAGGCAGTGAGTAATTTTACGACAAAGAATTCAAATAGTGCTTACTAATCACTTTACTTACATATGAATTTCAACGCTTTATCAGTGACAACAAGAATGATGACATTAACAAGACAATTAATACACTAAATGAAGAAGCGTCGGTCTCTATACAAATAAAAGATGAAGAAAATCAATTCCATAATGCTTTGGAAGCATTAACAAACTTTGTACCTTTCGCACCATTAATAGACAGATTTATAAAATTAGGGAAAGATATTATAACATTATATCAAGAGGCTGAATATAATAAACGCTTATGTAGTTATTTCACAAGACGGGTAAATTTGGTTGTCGGATTTATAAAAAATTTAGAAATTCGAAGACAAGACTGTTTAGAATTTTTTGTGGAACAAACTAATCTTCAACTTATAAAGGATTTTATAAAATGTATGCTTGATGTTAGAAAATTCATTACAAATGTTTCTCAATCTGGTTCATTTGGTAAATAAAAAAAATTGTTATTAGAATAAAAGCTGAAAAAAAATTTTAGTTAAAAATAATAAAACAGTTTATTTGAATATAAAAATATATAAAAAGTTGTAGAAATGTTTGAAAAATTTTTTTCCTTTTTAAAAATTTATTATAAATACAAATTGAAGTTTCTTTTATAAAAGAAATAGTTGATAATTTGTGTATTTCTTACCTTATATAATTAATTAATAAAAAATATCTTTAATAATATTTTCAAAATAAAAGACCAATTGCTAACAAAATCATTTCTTACTTTTTGTCTTAACCTAGTGTTAAATTATTTTATCTCTAAATATATTAAAAAAGTTATATAACATACCTTCTAATTTAGTAACAATTCATTGCTTTTTTTAAGTATTATATATGTGTTGATGGCTACTTCACCTGTGACAATATAAATTTATAAATTTATATATAAAGTTTCAATTTTTAAAATACATTAACTCTTTTACAGTAATAAGATTTTGAAAAGATATTTAATAATTATGCAAAGCTGATATAGTTTTATATAATTACTAGTTAAATTTTTTTAAAACTTTTTAAACAAAAATTAGAGGTTATTTAAAAAACTGAAACACTTTGTATAATTATTGTTAAAATGCTACACAAAGTCACAAGGATGGATCATCCAATCAGATCCAAGATTATGCACATTTAATTTAACTTGCATATAAACCATACTCTACGTTGTACGTTGTACAAACCCCGTTCCTGAAATTAGTAACTTGATTTCACTTTACTCTTTACTTGGTTAATTATGACTTCAATGTTACCTGCTAAAATACCAGGAACGGAATATTTACAACGTACGTACGTACATATGTGGAGTATGGTTTCTTTTGCATCTGATTGAATAATATATCCTCGTGACTTCGACTTGTTATTTGATACTTTTTTACACATTGACATGTGATTACTGCTTAATGATGTAATAAAAATGCGTTTGAACGTTGTGTGATAAAAGCTTACTATTTATTTGATACATGCGTACGTACCTATAAAAAATGTACCACACACACTTGTATTTAATGATTTATGTACGTACGTACGTAAATCGGCATGTTTGATTTAAAATGACAAATAATCTAAAACAGACCGATATTAACCAATTATATTTAGAAGATAATAATACATGGAATATTTTTAGTGAAATTGTTAAAGAATTATATCATTTATATAATGAAGAAAGATCGAAGGGCAAAAGTTTAGAACAAATATTTAGCATATTGGACCAATTTTTAGCAAAAAAGAAGCAAAATCCAGATAATGTAATTAAATGGTGCTTAGAAAATCAAATCAGTCCTATGGCCCAAATAATTCTTGCTCGCTGTTATGATCATGGCAAATGGATTGAAAAGGATGAACGTAAGGCATTCATTTATTATCAAAAATCGGCGGAGATGGGGAATGCTGATGGAATAAGACAAGTTGGTTATTGCTACGAAAAAGGAGTTGGGGTTGAAAAGGATGAAAACAAGGCATTCATTTATTATCAAAAATCTGCAGAGATGGGTAACGCTATTGGAACATTTATTGTTGGATGTTGTTATCAACATGGAATTGGAGTTGAAAAGAATAAACGTAAGGCATTCATTTATTATCAAAAATCTGCAGAGATGGGTAACGCTATTGGAACATTTAATGTTGGATATTGTTATTCTGAAGGAATTGGAGTTGAAAAGGATGAAAATAAGGCATTCATTTATTATCAAAAATCGGCGGAGATGGGAGACGCTATTGGAATGTCAACAGTAGCAAAATGTTATCGAAATGGAATTGGAATTGCAAGAGATTTAGATAAGGCCAAATACTGGTTTCAAAGGTAAACATTGAGTTTAATTTACTCTGGGATGATGTGATACATCATAATCAAATCAAAAAGGAGCTTGTCTGGATTAGAATTATAATAGAGTTAGGGTAGAGTTATAACTTAGAGCTATAACTAAGAGTTATACCTTTAAACCGACTCATAAACAATTACCCCAGATTTTTATTAAATTATATATTGCTATGTTGTTACTATCGTACAGTTTTTATTCACCTTTTCATATTAATATATGTATTCATATTTGTATGCCATAAATAATCGATAACGCTAAAAATTCTACATGTAATATGATCAAATATATACGATATAACAACTGCTAATAACGTTATCTTACGAGAACACGCTAGTCGGTTATGTTTTTACTCACCATACGATAACTTATATGATAACTTATACGATAATTTACACGAGAATTTATACAATAATTTATATGATAGCTTATATTAATTTAATAAATTCTTATATTTAAATTTCTGATTAGGGAGAAAGAATTAACGTTAGGTATTATTGTTATTTATTAAATTACATTGTTATATTGTTTAAAATCTAAACTTGATAGATTTATAAATAATTATTATAATTATTAGTTACAAATGAATGGATGCATAATTCTGAAATTGAAGAAGATTTGAAACATTTATTGATCGAAAATAAGTACCAGTTATCTTGGGTTTCTTACGATGAATTTATGAATGTTAGAAAAATAGGTAAAGGAGGATTTGCGACTGTATATTTTGCCAGATGGTTTGATAAAAGTCAAAATGTAACCCGCCCCGTTGCACTTAAATTACTTCATAATTCAAATAATTGTCATGAAGAATTTATAAAAGAGGTAATCTTCATATTTAATATTTTTATTAATTATACAGAATATAATTCTTTATTTTTTATTTATATTAACAATTTAAAATATATTTCATTTTAATAAGTTAAAAGCATACTGTGATATTGGCCTTAAAGATCCAACCTTTTTAAAATGTTTTGGTATATCAAAAGATAAAGTTTCCAAAGACTATATTCTTGTAATTATGTATGCTTCAGAAGGTTGTTTGCGCAAAAATCTGCAAACCATAGCACTGATGGATTGGAATGATAAATTAAATCTGCTGCAATGTATTGCATCAGATCTTCAGATAATTCATTTTCATGATCTTATTCATCGGGATTTACATAGTGGAAATATACTACTAGAAAGTTTTAAAAGTGCATATATTGCAGATTTAGGACTTTCAATAACTGCTAATATTGCATTAAAATCAAATTCTGATGGAGTTTGTGGAATTTTACCGTATATTTCTCCTGAAGTTTTGAACTATCAACCATATACTAAAGCATCCGATATTTATTCATTTGGTATAATCATGTGGGAAATTTTATACGGAAATCCGGTAGCTTATGATCAAAAATTTACCTTTTCACAACTTTGTTATTCAGTGTGCTGTCATGATTTGAGACCTGTTATTAATGAAGAAGCACCACAATGTTACGTAAACCTTATGAGAAAATGTTGGGATAAATATCCAGAAAAACGTCCATCAGCAAAAGATCTTTGTGAAATTTTTGAGAAATGGCAAAGTAATGAAAGTATTTTGATAGAACTAAATGAGTCCAAAACAGTACTTGAGAATATCGAAGAATCATACTATGAGAATATGTTCAAAGGTGGAAGTAAGCTCATCAATACGCAGGGAATTACAGAAAAGTTATCTAAAATGATTTTACCCAGTAAAGAAATTGATCCTATAGATTTTCCTGATGACCTTTGATTTTTTTTAAAAAAGATTTTGCATATGTAATTTTTTACAAGAATTTTTTGTAGTTATTTCATTCTTTAAAAATATTATTGAATATTATTTTATTGACGATTTCTATTCATACACTAGTGTATGAAAACAAGTATATATATAAATTAAAATTTTACTAATAAAACAGCCTTTGAGGCTCTAACAAAAAAAATTTCCGTGAAATCTTATTATAGAATATGCCTAACCTGAACCATAAACCCTACTTTAATCCAACAATAATTAAATTAATTTTGGTTTCTTTAATTTCGTGTTATACGGATTTAAAAATTATCAGTCGATCTAGATGTACATGAGATTATATGATTTTCATAAATTACACAAATCGATGAAATCACGTTTTTGAAAATTTCGCCAAAGTCTTAGTTATAACACACAACGTTTCTTAAAACGTGGAAAGTTAACATTACTTTGTAATGTGTGATCTCTTCGAAGATGGGCAATTATTTTGTCTTGTTTCGTAAGATTCTTTTTGAGTTTGCAAGATCTTTGTATGAAAAATGGCTTGTTAGATGTGCACAGTTGAGAATTTTCTACAAAATGCATCTTCAAAAGAAGAGTATGCTATAAAAATGTGAAGAATTTGAGAAAAAATATTTTTATACTGTGTAAATTGCAAATTTTGTCAATTAAGTTCTTTTTTTCTTTTTTTTTTTTAGTGAAAACAGCATTGCAAAATATAAAAATATATTCAAGGTAAATTATTTTGTTATTAAATTTTTTTTGAATACAATATTTTATATAATTTATAATTTTAAGATATTTTTAGGGAACTGTTATTGCCACCTCCCGATTCGTTAATGCCACCCCATGTGATATATATACAACATGATATTTATTAAATAAATTTTTTGGGTTTACAACAATTTGATAATTGCAAACTAAAAAGATGAAATCGTTAGTCGCATAAACAGTTCTGGATCAATTAGTGCCAGCCGAATTAAATAGTTAAATGTAACTAATTCAGTTATTATCAATAAGTGTTTTACTTTTTTTTTGACTTTTTTCAATTTTTTTAAATTTTTTTTAAATTTTTTTTTCAAATTTTTCTTTCAAATTATTTTCTGATATTTTTTTAAATTATTTTTTTTTAATTTTTTTTCGATTCAAATTACATGATCAATAGTGAGTTATTAATTAGATCATTGTTGCATAGCGGATAAGAAAGCTTGTAAAAGCTTATTGTTATAATAGTCTATAAATCAGATCAAATATAGTACAGCCATTATCTAGATATCACCAAGTTATATGTCATATGGTTGTTTATTAGTACGTACCAGGAATGGAGTATGTAGTGTATGGTTTACAGGCAAGTTAATATGCGTGTGCGATTCTCAGTATATGATTGGGTAATCTGTCATCGTGACTTTGTGTAGCACCCCGAAAAATACTTTAAAAGGTAGGTACCAGGAACAAATGCCTCTGTACGCAAAATTTTAGAATTGATTGGTCCGCGTGACTTATTCATCTTCAATATTTTCGAAAGAATTCGTCGATCATTTCTAAATACTGATATGTTTCGTAGATTTTTAATGTTTTTTTGCAGGGCCCCTTACACATATATTAAAACTGGTGAGGGATTATATCCATCGCAATTGAATTCAACATAAATAATTTAATTTGTAATTGTTCACAGGCGAGAGGGATTCACTTTGGATCGGGCACTGTCTCTGCTGTATTTTGGGTCAAATTCATCGGAACTGAGTGATGACTTCATTAATAGGTTTTTAGGCTCAGTCACTGAAATTCAAACCAATATTCAGATTGCAAGTACTATCAACTTCTTTTATAAAGAGTCATTTTCTTATACCAGGAATGGATTGCAATGAAGAATATGGTTTCCGGTGACTGAAATGGTGTCTGCGTAGATTTCTCCCGTTCCTGGTTTCGCGCGACAACGTTGCGCAGCTACTTATATATATAATTACTTCGTATAAGAATAAATGTGACATATAACCTTGTGACTAGTGATACATTTCATGCGCATGTTGCGCATGATGCGCATGAAATGCACGTGGAAAATTTTCGGAATCGTTAAGGAGTTTTCGGAATATTTCGGAACCTATTAAAAATTCCGGCTCATATGAGTGCCGCCAAGGGAAAATGTTCCTCTGTAAATTGTGATATATTATCGATTATTTATATGATTCAGCCCTTCTGATCAATGTCGCATCGGGCTTTCAAAATTTGTGCTGTATTGTATGTACTAGTGATGCCAAGATAACCTTTTAATGTTACTATGTTTTGGGTTTTTCACGTGACAAAACTGATAGTAATATAAATTGTACATTAAAACTGTTAAAATACAAACGATAAAACTAGTTAAAAATGTTGTTCAAATTATGTAAGGGTCAACTACTACGTAAGGGCCAACTACGTATATATTATATATGTATTAAACTTCGTTATTATCACCAAATTACGTCATATATTAAATTACGTTATTATCAAATTATTAAATTAAACTCATTAAATTATATGACTAGTATAAAAAGCTAACATCAAAACAAATAATTTAATAACTTATTCCAAAATGTCAAATAATATTGATAATGATTCAATTACTGTTAACGACTGTTTAGTTTCAATTAATAAAAAATCCAATTCTGGTGGTCGACCTCAAGGAGAAATATGGAATGCTTATACTATCGAACAAAAAAATGGGAAATACTATTCTATTCGATGTGACTATTGTTCTAAATGTTAGAAAAGAGGAATACCAATCATGATGGAATCACATTTAGCCAATGAATGTTCCAGTTGTTCACAGGATATACAAAAATATTGGCAGAATAAAATTGAAAATTGACATAATAATTATCGAAGAACTTCAAATACAAAATGTTGCAAATCAATTGATTCTGTTAATACAAATAATTCAGAATCACTTTCTATAAATCATCAAAATGCACTTGATCATGCTATATTAAAAGCTTGGGTTGGATGTGATATACCTTTTGAGATCATCGACAATCCTTTTATGCGAGACTTATTTATGCAACTTAATCCTGCGTATCATCCGCCTGGGTGTATAACATTATCTAATCAAATTCTTGAGAAAGAAATAATAAAAGTTAATAAGAAAATTTCTAATATTTTAGAAAAAAATGATAATTTAACTTTAAGTAAATAAAATAGATTATTTTTTTTAAAAAAAATAATATATTTATTAATTTTTTTTTTTTAGTCTTAGATGGATGGTCATCTCCTCAAGGCTCATCAATATATAATTATATTGTTACTACAGTTGATCGTAAAAAATACTTGGTAGCATTAAAAGATTACTCTAACAAATCAAATACTGGAGAATTTCTAGCATCTGAAATAAATACAATAATAACTTCAATTGGTCTTGAAAAATTTGCAGCGATCATAACAGATTCTGGAAGTAATTGTAGAGTTGCATGAAGAATTACAAATCATGATTATCCACATATTTTAGATATACGATGTATTGCCTATTTAATAAATTTGATCGCAGAAGATTTTATTAAAATTGATCGAATTAAAACTTTTATAGATACTTGTGGGCATATAACAAAATTTTTTAATAAATCATATTTACCTAATCAGTTACTTGAAAAAGGAATTCGTACAATGAAAATTAATAGAGGTGGATTACAAACTTATACCAAAACACGATGGTGTTCTTTATGGAATTTGACTGATTCACTATTGCGATTACACCCTATATTTAATTGGGTATGTTAAATTTTATAAGTTATATATTAATGGATAGGATTTCGCATTTTGTACTACTGGTAGTACATTTTTAAAAATTCATAGTAAACTCAAAAATTAATAA